AGCAGCATTGGCGCCAACGGAACCCACTGTCCCAATGACAGAGGCCACTGCATCCTCACAGCCATTGGCCTCAAAGGAACCAGAACCAGAAGCACCAGCAAATGCCATTGCATCCATGGAGGCACCATCAGCAGAAGTGGCAGCCAACCAGGCACCAGCAGCAGCATTGGCGCCAGATCAACCAGAACCAAAAGCACCAGCAAATGCCACTGCATCCATGGAGGCACCAGCAGCAACATCGGTGTCAACAGAACCAACAGCAACAGCTTTGGCAGAAACAGCGCAAGCATCAGCAACACAACTCTCGGCATCAGTGCAAGCAGCGGCAACCTCAGCACCAGCAACGGTCTCAGCATGTCCCTCAACAACCAAGGAGTGCAAGAAACCAGATGAGAAGAAGAAAGACAAGAAGGACAAAGAGCACAAGGAGCACAAGGAACACAAGGAAAAGCATAAGAAAGACAAGGACAAGAAGGAGAAGCAGAAGGATAAGAAAGAAAAGAATGATGATCCAATGCATGACCATGAGCACAGGAGTTCCTCTAGCAAGCGTGGAGAGGCACTTGTTGGTGACATGGCTGTGCAGGATGCAAAGAAGCTCAAGAAGACCCATGGCGACCATGGCTACGCAAACATCCTGGCAAGCTTCCAATCTCAGATTCATGATACTTCTTTGGATTCCAAGTCCACTTGCGCTTCCATGCATGATGGGCTTGACCTCGATGAGCTTGCGAAGCAGGCGGAAAACAGGGCTTTTTGGGACGCTCATCAGGTTCCACGCATTGAGGATGGAAATGAGGAGGAGCCAGATGGGGATGAGGAGCAGGAGGAGCAGCACAAGACCAAAGGATCTTCCAAGCGCAAAGCCTCTGAGAGTCGTGCTGATGATTCGCTGAAGCCTGCAGCAAAAGCAAAGGCAAAGGCAAAGGCACAAGTCAAGGCTGCTTGCAAAGCCACATCAAAGCCGAAAGCTCAGGCGAAGCAGAAAGCACAAGCTCAGCCCAAGAACAAGAGCAAAGGTACCGGCAAAGGACAAAACACCTCGCTGACAGCCTTTCTGAGAAAGTGAGGTCAAGACTTGATCAAAAAGATCAGTCCTGTTTGCCTGCTGCCAATCGTGCAGTGGGTTCAGCGGTTTGTTGGCAGTGGTTACAAGAGTATATGTAACTAAATTGCTGATTGTGCAATGAACAAAGCCAACCGCTACAATCCAAGTTACTCAGCTAGACAAGACACAGGTGCAAGACTGTCGGCTGAGGTTTGCCGATAGTCACTGACACTTGTGGAGCTTGTTTGAGGCAGGAGAGGAAAAAAACACAATACATTTGTGCGCAAGCTTATGTGCAAGGGCTGGGGCTTAAATACAAGGGTGTAACCTGAATAAAGAAATTTGACAAAGGTGACATACGCTTTTTGTTACACTTGCAACTGTTGCTTGTCACCAAGCTTTGTGATTTAAGAGCTTTTACCCCGGTTGCTTTTGGCCCGCTTTTCCTGTTACTCTTTCTGGGCGCTTCTAGAACATTCCTACCGTAACGGTGTTCGAAAAGCGCTTTGTATTGCGGATAGGGATGCAGACAGATGGACAGATAGATTATAGATGTGCGGCAGATAGATAGGAGGCGTGGATAAACAGATCGCTGGACTAGGGGATGGTCGGGGGTCGGATCAGCTAGAGATTTACTGCGATAGGGAGGATTAGGAAGACCGGTCCAACAAGGAAGTATATCAAATACATATATAGATAAAACGAGTAGTGAGACATCAGTGAGACATCCAGGCGGGAGAGATAGAAAGGACCCGAGTTTAGTGAAAGAAAGGCAAGTCAAGGGCTGGAGGAAGCGAAAGCGAAGTAAATAAAACTGGACCCGAGAACAAACAGAGAAGAGAGGAGAAGGAGAGGAGATGTGAGGAGAACAGAGAAAAGAAGAAGGGCTATTTGTGGAGGCTTTTTCGAGGCTAATAATCGTTCTTGTTTGAACTTTTGCCCAGCAAGTCATTGTCTTTACCTCTTAAACGATTGTTTTTACCTAGGAGTGGGATTGTTGACCTTCATTTAGTGCCTTGATAGCTTCCCTAAGGACAGGCCTTGTGAGTTGCCTGTGGAAGCCTTTTCTGACTGCCAAATTCAATGGCGGGAAGATGCTACATATGTGGTCAACCCTCAAGCCCCACCTGTTAAGCAGTGCCTTGCACATGAATCAATGCACATGGCTTCAATCTTTGCTATTGGTATTCAGTCATTCATTTTTTTCCACTTCTTTGTCATTGCATTTTGCCCTATGTATTCTGTATAAACCGAGGGATTTGGTACTCACGAAAGACGAGCTGCAGAAGCTTCAGTGTGCCTTTTTCAATCATTGCTTGGAGTAGGAAACGCGGGTCTTTGACAGAATTCATGGCTTGCTCTTGTTGCTAGAGAGCCGTCTCCACAGCCCCAACAGGTGTGCTGGTGGAGCGCGACAATTCCTTCACAGTGAGAGAGCGTTGGGAAGGTCGCGAGGTAAAGCCACATGAAGTCGTCTACCGGAATGCGCAGGAGGCCTTTGGACATGCCTGGAGTGCACAGCGAGAGAAGCAAAGTTCACATTCATGTTTTCAATGTAACTTGCTTCTGTATCTTGCAGGTGAGGTTGCCGGTGGGGGGCCGGGTCAGGGTTCACCTAGTGTTGGAGCTTTATGGGAAACATTTCTATTGCCATGGGGCAATGGGGAGATTTCTTGTTTGCACTTTGTTGGCAGGCTGTAAAAGACATTAAGCTTCAGCAAGTGCAAACTGACAGGGAGAGCTACTGGGAGGCTTGTGTTCGGTTGGCTAATTTGCTTGTTTGGCTTTTGTGTGGTGGTAAATACCATGTGCAAGGTTTGCAAAGTCAAAGATGATGGGGTGGCCAGCAAAGCTCGTATGGTACCTGGCCAACGTCTTTCTGAAATTTCCATAGCCTTGCCAGATCCCCTCCAACTGAAGCTGGTCAGGACACGCAACAGACGAGAACAGTTGCAAAGCAATATGAATCACGCATCTGACTTTAAGTGTCACATACAGATGCGTCCAGCCAACAAGGAGCGATGTGAATTTGGATGATATCAAAGGCCTTAGGTGGGAGTCCATCAAGGTTGAGGATATGCCAGATATTCCAAAATGCTTCTCAGATTGGGGAAGCTCCGCAGTACCTTTCTTGCAGAGTAGGCCAGATTGAAGTTTGAAGGCCTTTGTGTTGCCGTAGCAGCAGCATGCCGTACTGGGAACGATCGGAGCACAGCCAAGGATGATGCAGGTCTGTCGTTTCCGTGCAAGCTCAAGTTTGACCTGGTTGCCCCAGGGTCCCAAGTGATTGCTGCAAGAGCAGGGAGGGAGAAGCCGAAAGAGGACCTCGCGGGTGTTTACTGTGCAAGACTGTGGTGTCTAACGAGTCCAACTTGAACTTGATGTGGCTGAGCTGAACCCAGAAGTAGCTTTCAGATGTCACATTGGAAGAGTTTGTGGAGGAACAAGAGGAAGACGAGGGTCACAAAATTTCTCTGGACCTGCTGGAGAAACTGCAGAAAGAAAGCGAGTGCACAATTCAATTTGAGCGAGCTCCCCGCGAACGAATTACTAGATCATCGGCTGCTGTTCGTGACTCCTTTGCATGTATTGTTTGGTGGTCGGCGGGCCGATCTTGTCTTGACACCAAGAACCACCTTGACTTGATTGATTTCGGAGTTTCAGGCCATCGGCATTTCAAAGAAAGCGACTCAGAGGGTTGGAAAGATGACCTGTCCCTCTTCGAGACGTGGTTGGCATCGAAGGCGATGTCTCCGAGCTACCTGCCATCAATGCAAAGATAGAGAGAGATATTGGGATTGCAACGGTAGTCGGCTCATTTGGGATTATATAGACCAGGTCATCTTTGCATTAGACTCATTGGAATCATTGGACTCCTGTGACATGATTGACAGACTGCTGAGATCATTTGAAGTTTGTCTTCAAGAAGCTCTTAGAGTCCGTCCGGAAAGAACTCACCGAGTTTGAGCGTTGCGTGGCTGCAAAAGCCGTTTGGTTTCATTTGTGCCTGTTTTAATGTGAGTTTGGTCGTATGCATTTTTTGACATGGGCTAGGTTTCTTTTTTGAGGGTCCTTCATCGAAAGGCACAGTGCCAATTGCTGGGCTTTCCAGGCAAAAAGACTCATCGTTTTCAATCACTGCTGGCCAAGAGCATACGCTTCGTCGACTTGACAGCTCGAAGAGATCAGTTGACAGAGGCAGGAAGGACCAACCATAGCAAATGAGGCTTTGTATATCCTGTATATCATATATGCCTTTGACTCAACATTTCAACCGTCAATGGACGAATCTTTTGCAATTCCGCAATCCTCTTGATCTTGCTGCGTTTAGAAGCCTAAAGATGCTGCCGCCTGTCCGTATCAATCTCAATGCTCGAAAGTCAAGCACTCAAGAGCTTGCACTTTTGTGCGGTCATTGGTTTGCTATATGCATCATCGTAGAGTTGCATTTAGGTTTGAACTAGATACTTATACAGTAACGTGAGTCTGCACAAGGACGTAACATTTTTGAAACACAAGTGCAAGATGCCTTTCCATGTTTTTTGTGATGTCACGTTTCCAATGTTGGTATTGTTTACCTTCTGGGGATCTACAGTGCTACTAGTGATAGCAGAGCCCACTGGGCCCATCAGCTTAGTTTGACCACGGCTTGGCTGTGGCTTTTAGAGCCAGGCCAGCTGTATGGTTTGCATCTTGATGTTGGATGCCGCTTTGCAACAGCTAGTGGCCAAATGTTGACCATTGCCTGCAGATTGCGGCAACCGCCAGTCTGCAGCAGAAACGCCACCACAAAGAGTTGCTAGCTGAAATCAATGCCACTTGGCGGAGAAAGGATTAGTGTGCTCTTATGTTCTGAATCGGTCTACCACTTTTCGCCCACCCCCCTGGCTTCAAGTGATTACATCATCACTAATTGCGAGCGACATGTAGCAACATTGTGACACCAGGCCGTCCAGACTGTCTGGCTTGTTGATTCCAAGTGCCTGTTTTTGCACATGGAGCCAGTTGAGGTAATTGAGCAAGAGCTGGAACTTCTGTTTGACCAGGCGTTGGGCGACTGTTGGTGGGAGAGCGCGCACGTCGGTGGGCGCGATGCCTTTTGCACGAGCTTTCTTTCCTTCGCAGGTTCCGTTGTTTTTTCTCTCCGACATCTCAGAGTTGGCCGGAGACATCATAACTTCAGGCTGCTGTTGTGATTCAGCTTGATTGGCGGTTCGTCGCTTCGTGCAACTGAAGCCTGAAGCGCTCTGAGCGCCCAAAGGGCACCATCCCGCAGGCAACAAAATGGAACAGATTGTGGTTCCAATGCCTGAGCCCAATGCAGCACCATCGAGACGTTCTAGGAGGGTTTGACATGTTTGTTTGAACCAGTTTCCTTTTCACGTCTAAGTCTCAGTTGAAACGCCTCCAGGAGCTTGCCGGCTGCTACCATGATGCACGTTTCCAGCTGCAAGCTGAGGGTGACAGTTCAGTCGACCCTTTTGGAATCTTTTGGAGCCCATGCTGATGCTGAGGCATGAAGGAGGCAGAAGAGATCCTTGACTTAGTTTCGTACTTTTGCCAGGGAGGCAGACTTCGACATTCCGCTCCGACCTGGGGTGTCAAGTATGTTGACAGGGCACAAGATGCTGCGCTGGTTGGCACTTTGCAGGGTCAAGTCAGTCACCAGTTTGAGATAGTTTGAGTCATGTCATTTGTGTGTGCACAAATTTTGATCTGGAAAGCATCAGCCGCGGCAAGGTTGGGCTATGGATGTCGGGGCTATATATAGACTAGATTCTTTCTCCACAACTCTTCTGGGAGGGGCATCCTTTGAGCCCAGCAATGGCAAGTTCAATATCCTTGATGGCCCCATCCAGATCCCAGACTTTTGAAGCCAAGAATGAGCAAGATGCGAAGGGACTGAATTCTGTGCATCAGGCCACGGCACAACGTTAACAGGTCTGAACAAGGTTCGGTCACAGGTGGCCCCTTGCAAATCATGTTTCTCGCTGCACTTTTAGGAGCCTAGAAGAATTGATGGGACAAGCGATGCCTTGTGAAGAGAGAAAGCGGCTCCAGGACAGCCATAGCATGTCACGAGTAGCCATAGTTGCCGGGCTGAATATGTACAGTGATTACAGCTCATGACCATTCTGCGTAACACGTGAAGTCTTGCAGGAAGCTTTCAAGTATTTGCACAAGAAGTCAGAAGAGCAAGGAACATAGCATTACACATGGATGTTGACCTGCGCATTTCAGTCCTGCAATGTGCATAGCACACATGCACACATGATCAGATCAAAGGCCCAAGAAACATGTTTCATCACGCCGAGTCAGCCGAGTAAGCGATGATGAAACAGGAAGAGATGGTGGAATAAAAGGACACATGCGATGACATGTCAAGCATGATTACGGTGTGGTCCGAAGTTGTCCCGAGGTACCACAACAAATTGCATGGCCGTGGCAAGAAACTTGACACTCAGTCGGCGACAAAGCTGCAAGTTGCTTCATGTAGGGTATTGGTGCACCCCAGGCTGCGGGCTGCCTTGCTGTCAACTGTTATACATGGTGATGACAGTTGGAGTGCTCATGCTCTCGTTCGGAATGGAGGGTCGGCCACCTGATTTGGCAAAGGCGAACGGCCATGGTCATGAAGATGGCCGGCTTTCGTTCAAGGAATTCGAGAAGGTGATGTTGTTGAGTTCCTTGTTTCCAAGTTTTGCGCGACCGATCAGTGGGCAACGCAAAGCCTACAGGCAAGATCATGTAAAGGCAGATGTAGCGGGATAGTGGAGCCAATGACACATGTCCTGATCCCAACTACATTAATTTAATAACAGTGCAGGGTGAGAACTGCTTTTTGCAATCTCTATGCACTGCTGAACCTGGCACCTCACGTGTCAAAAGCCAAAGATTTAGAGACAGACATAGAGGTTTCTCCGACTCTCCAGCGAGGGTGAAAGCTCCTACAGAGCAACCGTATGCAACCGTTGCATGGAAAACCGTGTGTACATGTGTGAATGGTTGTGGTGGCTCCTTGTGTAGGAGATCCTCATGCCCTTCCCCACCCAAGACTCAAGAGCCCCCGAACCATGCAGTGTTTCGTTTTCACGTGGGAACGTTTGGTGACGTGAGCCTTGAGACATGATTGGTATTGATTGGTTGTGTTCCACGATACAGTTCCCCTGCCCCTGCGATTCGTCTCTTGCAAGGGCTCGAAGAGGTTTCCAGCGCTCATCCTTCCCAGCACTGTGCAGCGAAAGGGGCCGGAGAAAGCAATGAAACACGCATGAAGCCAAAATCAGAACGCTGCCTAATCAACACTGCCTGATCAAGAATTCATCAGCTTCAGATTCTGCAGACATCTCACTACATTTAAGGCCGAATGTTCGATCTTTCAGTGGGAACTGACAAGCGATTGACGAGATTCTATTCGAAGGAAGGGAAGGAGGTGAGGAAGGTGAGGAAGGTGAAGAAGCGAGGAGGTGGACAGTATGTAGTTCTTCACTTGCAAAATCCATGAGGGCGACTTAGTGCGTGTTTCTTTTTGCCGAGCTCCTTTTCATAAGCCGAGCCGAAGCCGAAGCCATCTCACATGTGCCCTCCGAGCTAGCCCAACGCCTAAGTCATCTCAGCCAGGCTGACCAGTAAAGCTTGATCTGCCAAAGATGTCCTTGCTTTGTTTGCTTCAGGGGTGAGGCTTTGCCAGCCCAATTGGATTGAAAATGCATGGTGCGCAGTTTAAGCGTGACCCACCCCATAAGTTCGTGCTGAATGCGCTTGTTTTGCAATAGAAGTTCTTGCTTCGCTGGCTTCACTGCATGTTTTTCTCCTCTCCTCTCCTCTCCTCTTCTCCTCTCCTCGCCACGCCGCTCCGCTCCGCTCCGCTCCACTCCCACATCCCAACGAAAAGGAACACCCTTTCCAAGCATCAATTCTGCCAATTGCATGCCTTCACATTAGCTGCTGCTTGGGGGTCAGAGAGGCAACGCTAAGTTTTCAGAAGCTATTAACGAAGGAAGTTAATCCTCAGGTGGTGTGAATTGGCTGGCGTCCGAAGAGTTGCGCGTGCTGTTTGACTCGATGGATGCGGATGGATCTGGTAAACTGAATCTAGGACTGCACTTCCAAACGCTTGTGAACAGCCTGAACAACTCAGTTGGACATATGCCACAACTCAAGCAATACCAGTCTCCACACATTTGCACATGCAGTTGCAAGAGCAGGAGAACTTCAAAACACAGCCATCCGCTTGTCGGACTTGGCTGGCCGTGTGCAAACTTTTCGCGAAGAGAACAAGGTGATTGCACATTTGGGCTAGTTCAGTGTGTTTGTTGTCTAATTACAAAGGAGTTTTCACTTGATTCTTCTATATACTCTTCTGATCTCTTCTGATGGGGTTTGCAGCCTTTTGGTAGATTTTGCAAGTCTGAACATTGTCAACCATCCTATCCTTGCCAAGCTGCTAATTCTTGCAGTTTGGTGCAAGGGCATGTCGGCCGAGAACTGCTTGCTGGAATTTGGACAATTGCTGCAAATGGGACATGATCTCGTTGGACCTCAAGCACATCCGCTTCTCCCGGACAGCCACATCTCAGCTTCCAGCTACTTCAATGAACGAGCAGAGTATGGCAAGCAACAGATGTGGCGGTCGCGACTGGATTGCATCGACTCTTGCTGGGTTGGAAAGCCCAAAGACCAAGATCCAAATCCCTGGCTTCAGTGGCAGTTTTCCTCATGCAGAGAGATCCGGGCTATTGGGACAAAGGGCAGGCCCGATACCGACAGCTGGGCGTCCAGCTCAGTTGATCAGAGTACGCCCTGCAGAGAGGCATTGTGTTTGGTCTTGCCAGTGATGCATTCAGCAATTTATTTACATGCTTAAAGGCTTAAGTTGTTTGTTGACGAAGCCGAGTGTTGATGAATTGATGGGTAGATTCCGGGTAGATGTGGTCTCTTGTACACGTGCAAGGTCACAAAGTTCACGATCAAATATTTGGCGGAAGAGCTTGAGGATGATGAGGAGATTCCAGACACTTGTCATCACCTGTAAAGAAGATCATTTCAGTTTAAAACTGATTAGCATTAGAGGCTAAGTGTTGAGTCCAGCTTGCTTGCTATTGAAGTGCTGCTGACGAGCCGTGAGCTGAAGGCAGATGGACACTTCAAATGGAAAATGTACTGTGTGAAGGGATGGCCGATGCAATTGGACGGAAACTTTGACAGGAACACCAGAAAGGACGAACAATGGGGAGTGACAGGCTGACTTGACGCATCATTCTGGTCATTGAGCAGCCGGGGTTCACATGTCCACGCTGAATGATGTGACGCAGTGTGACGCACCTGCAGGACAACCTTCTAGAGCCTTTCGTTGCAAGCTGCGTTCGGATCTATCCAGTTGACGCTTGGCGCACTTGAGTCACTTGAGCGTGAGCATGTGTGAGTATAGTTTGATTCTTCACGGGTTTCGCCGGCCTGGGCAGACATTCAGTTGCTTCAAGGAACACAGGGGGGCTTTGTCCAGCAATGCGCGCGTCAATCTATGGCACTTTCAGGCAGAATGTGACGGCTGCCGAAATAAATTGGTCAGATTGACATGCTACTGTTTTTTCAGCCACTAGTTTTTTGAGCATAGGAACTCGTGGTGCAGGCCGCCCCAGAGAAAAAGCGCTGAGCAAGCCTTCGAACTTTTTTGTCAAGATTTCACTGATGTGACGCGGCCAATTGCTAAAAGCATACCGCGAACAAAGATTCTTGAAGTACAGCAGGGCGCCAAAAGTGGCCCTGACACACAAGCTGGCTAACGAATCTAAATCAGGTTTGGAGCCGTGCTTACAAGTGATGGAAAAGTCTTTGACCAGAATCACATGCCAAACATGCAATGGACGGAACTGGCACATGCCTGCATTCCACAGCCCTAACAACATGACACCATGTAAACGACTTCCTTTTCTGTTTCCATGGCATTTAGAAGGCACGGGCTCTATGGAAGTCGTTTGGGGTTCATACTTCGCCAGGCCTTGCCTCTTTACGTAATTAAGTAGGCGCCTACTCCATTAATTAGGTAAGGGAGAAGTAAGCTACTAGGAGAAGTTCGCTCCTAGCCAGGACGCAGGATAGCCCACGCACTAATGATTTGATTCCTAGAGTTTAGGGCACCTTGACAGTTTGCATTGATCTGGTTGTGGTTGAAGAGGCGGAGCGGCTGCAGGCAGCCGCATCAGTGCGCCTCGCAAGTTTTTCACAGAATGTTAGTTGGGATGTGTAACGTCCTTGCTAGCCCTGGGAGCGTCCTTGCTCTTAGTAGCGATGCCCTTTGCTACTAGTAGTGTTCTTGTTCCTAGTAGTAAGGCCAGGAGCCCCTAGTAGCGTCGTAGTTCCTAGTAGCGATGCCAGGAGCCCCTAGCAGCATCCTTGTATGCCGGCATATGTTTTCCTTCTCTAGTGTAGAAGGCAATATTCAGTCTCAGTGTGAGCAAATCGTGCTACAACCCAGCTTGCGGCTCAAGCCTGAAGCCTTGGCCAATTGTTTCAACGCCATGGCGTTTCAAGACTCGAGAGACAGTCTCGGTGATATGATTCAGGGAGTGCATCGGCGGGATTGGCCAAGCCTTGAGATAGCGCTTCCTGACCTCGAGGTGCCTTGCATCAAAAAGTGGAAACTACAGTAATTAAACTGTGCAACTGTCATTGGCCAATAATTATGGTGTCCACTTGTGGCCCAGTAATTACCCTAAACTTCAAGCCTTCTGTACTATTCTCACAAGAGGGTCTAATTAGTCGAAGGAATCCCAACCACAGAGAAGGATGTTTGCTTGTTTGCCTCCATGATCTCTTTCTGAGGACTTTCAGGACTTAGCTTATCCACCTGAAGCTGTTGAAGTTCGCAACACCTTCATTCATGTGGCAAGTCCCAAAGCTCAAAAAGAGACGTGCACCGAGCGGCCTGTGCTCTCCTGCCCGGCAAGCCACATTGGATGGCTCACGGGTCTCTTCGATGAAGAGCCTGACCCAGCTCCAAGTCGAGTCCAGCATCGGTCCAAGGACAGAAGGAAATTGCTTTTTTGAAGAAGGGTAGAGGACGCTACTAGGACCAAAGGGCATCGCTACTAGGAACAAGGACGCTACTAGGGGCTCCTGGCCCTGCTACTAGGAACAAAGTAGCAAAGGGCATCGCTACTAGGAGCAAGGACGCTACTAGGAGCTGCGAAGGGTTCTTCGTAAAGAACTGCTGTCGGCTCCATCTTCCTGCTTCTCCTTATAACTAACTCCATTATCCTCCCCTCTTCAGAACCATCAAGTCCGTAGATAAGCAGTCATCAACATCATCATAATTCATAATCTTCTTCTTCTTCCGATCGCTCGAGAACTTCGTTAGCGCGGACCTGGCATCCATAGATGGAGAAAAGGTCTCGGCTCTTGCACTATACCATACCACGAAACTAGCTCCAAGCCCAAAACTGCCAAGCAAAGGCCAGGTCAGCTTGTGCATTCTGCGGCTGACAGCGTCTCAGCAGAACGTGGAGCATGGCAAATGGCCTGTCCACCGAACATTGGTGTGTGTTCATAATGTTGAAGAGGGGCCTATGGGTACCAGCGAAAAGCCCATATATTGTATATATATAGAGGTATTCTAGCTCCCCCGAAACCCACCTGCTCTTAAATTATCTCGACTACCAAAGTAGCAAAGTTCCAAAGTTCCAAAACTGCACAGACCTATGTCCCCAGAACGGCTATGGTCAGGTCATGGGGTCTGCAGTTTTGGAACTTTGGAGTTTTGGAACTTTGGAGGGCCTCCGAAGTTCCAAACTCCAAACTGCACAGACCTATGCACTCAGAGTGGCCATGGTCAGGTCATGGGGACTGCAGTTTTGGAACTTTGGAGTTTTGGAACTTTGGAGGGCCCCCAAAGTTCCAAATGTTCCAAAGCTGCACAGACCTAGGTCCCCGTAGTGGCTATGGTCAGGGCATGGGGTCTGCAGTTTTGGAACTTTGGAAGCCCCCCGAAGTTCCAAAGTGCCCAAAGTTATTCCTTGAAGGCACATCTAAATCTAATTTTCACGCATGTTTATTTGCTTGCATTCTTTACATTGTTTGAAACGTAGAATCTTACCTAACTTTGAATCAGCTGGTTTTTATGCAGTTCCAAGTGCGTGCTGCTTTTAAAATGAAAGCGTTGTACGTATGTAATTAGGTTGTATTCTTAAGATCACACCCCCAGCAAAACCATCTCTCTAGAATAAAGTCCAAATTAAATGATAATTCAATTAGCATTAAATTAGAAATAGTTTTGCATTGAACTAGAAACGATTTAAACTAAATTAGAAGTAATCAAAGCTAATTTGGAAAAACATAATTAAACTAGATTTGTAAACAACTGAAATTGAATTATTGTACATGATTTAAACTAGCGGAAACTAAAAGTTTAAACCAGCGGAAACTAAACGCTAAAATTACAAAATCATTTGCAATATAAACTACATTCACATTGACATACAACTATAAACTAGGACTAACTTCGGGATACGTTAAAAGCAAATTGGACTTAAATTAGATTTGAATTGGAATTTATCTGAGATTGAATTAAAACTTCATTGTTCCCAGTAGAATTGGACAAGAATTAAGGTATCATTGAATTAGAACTGCTTAACCTGCAGCTCGATTTCAAGTCAGCTACTGTAATCATGAATTAGAATTAGACTTGACTGAGAATTAAAGACTAAATGACATCTACAATGGTACTAAATTAGAACTGAATGGAAATTCAATTAGAACTGAATTAAGATCAAGTTGGAGATTGAAACTAAACTTCAATTAGAAATCAATAGATTCCTTTTTGAATTCAATGAGGTTCAAATTCGATTTTGCAATTCCAGATTTAGAATTAAGTTAGGCATAAAAATAGTAAGTAAGTTAGAGTTCACTAGAATCCTATAAATGATCATCAAAAGCTTTATTCATCAGACGGATTTATATTATTTCATGCCAATTTTGGTTTGAAAAAGAAAGCTAAAATTGAAAAACAGCTAAAAATAGAATTGAATTAGATCAACATTTGAAGTTCGCTGGAATTAAGATATAACTGAACTAGAATAGCTTAACCTGCAGCTAAAATCAGACTTGAGTGAGAATTAAAAACTAAATGACATTTGCAATGGTACTAAATCAGAATTGAAAGCACACTCAATTAGAACTGAATTAAGGTATAATTGGAGATTGAAACTATTCAACCAGGTTCAAATTCGCATTTGTCATCCTAAATTTGGAATTAGTTTAGACTTAAATAGTAATTAAATTAGCGTTCAATAGAGTTATATAATGTTAATAAATGATCATCAAAAGCTTTATTCATCAAACGTGTTTTTATGGATTCACGCCAGTATTGGTTAAAAACATAGGCTTAAATGTAAAACATTTAAACAGAATTGAATTAGATCTAAATTTGAAGTCCAATGGAAATACAAGAAACTCTTAGATTTCAATGACAATGTGGTTGTAATTGAATTCAAATTTAAGTCAACTTCCAATACATACACAGGTTGTGCAAAAGCCCAAAGGGCCAAAGCACAGACAAAACCAAAAAAGCAAAAAACCAAAGCTTTCAGGAGAACGTTTGGTTCAGCCGCAAAAGATGTTTTTGGTGTTCATGGTGTTTCTTGGTCATGAAACCCAAAAGCACCAAAAACTTGTTTTTCTGTTTTTGCAGGTATATTGTGCTAGAAAACTGCCAAAAGCAAATAACAGAAGGCGTTATTGTGTTTCTAATATTACAGTATATATGTATTTTGTTTTACTCATAGCAAATCAGCAAAAAACAAAACGTTTTTTGGCTGTAGCCAGCCTTCTTTAACCATACGCCGTGAAAAACAGACGCAAAGGTTTTGGTTTTTGTATTTCAAAACAAAAACGTAAAACAACAAAACATCTTTTGAGGCGGAGCCAAACATTCTCGTCACTTTTTTTTTGGTTGTTTTGGTTTGTTGTTTTGTTGCTGGTCGGCATTGTAAAGTACATTGTTTTCTATTAGATTTTTTAAATCAAACATATGCATAA